GCTTAATAAACAGAACATTATTTGGTGTAATAAAAAACACTAATAAAGTTTTCATTATAGTTATCTTTATAGTTAACGTTCTTGGTCTCAACATGCCTTATTACAATAAAATCTGTGACACATTTTCACTCTGTCCTTTTAAAATGTTTCCCTCAATCTGACCTTTATAATCTTGCAGGTGCTGTGAATAATTTTTCATTGCAGCAAATATCTGTTCTGTTTCTAAAAGGACAATATAAACACGTCTTGAGCTATAAATCTATTGGTATTTATATAAATCTCTGCACTGACAAATTTATAATCACCACGTTAGCTTGTTGGAAAGCTTTGCACACTGTATTATGACAGAAATTCTATTACACTTTTTAAGTTGGTTCATGGTCAAGCAGTCTTGCTCCACCTTTCATGACTTTCATGAGATTTGACTGAGGGTAGTCCTTGATCCTTACAGCTCAAGAGATATTTGTTATCCTCTGCTTTACTTAAACCGTCCTCTGGCTCAGACCTTTACTTGTATCATAAAAAAGCAGCTAAGCGAAGAGGCCAAATGAAGTTGTAACTAGCCGAAGTTGATTGCCAAGGCCAGCTTATGTGTAGAACATCTTGTCCTTAAAAGGACCGCTCACCTAAATTAAATCACCTAAATCACAAAAGGTGATTTAAAAAAAAAATATATATAAATATAAAAATACTGTATATATCATGTAGTCCTATTCAATATAATGACAGTTACCAAAATGGGCCATAAATGTATTATAAAGTATCACTTCTGAAGTCATATGAATAATTTAGCATGAGAAACCTTGACATTCATCTGAACTCTTAAAAATAAAGGTTACAAAAGGAGGAATTCAAAACAATGCAATAGAAGAACCATTTTGGGTTCCCCATAGAACTTTTCAGTAATAGGTCTTAAAACAACATCTTTGTTTTTTTTTTTTAATAATCGACAGAACTTTTTTCCACTATAAAGAACCTTTAGTGCAACGTAAAGGTTCCATGGATGTCAAAGGTTCTTCATGGAACCAACCAATGATACCAATAAAGTATCTTTAATTTTTAAAAGTGTAGCTTTCTTTGCTGCATAACTGCATAACATAAACAGAGAAGTGGTGAGGTCCAATTTGTGAATGAATCGTTATTTTGAGCCAGATCTTTTTAATGAATCATGTGATCTGGTTCACAAAACCAATCTGACCCATTTGTTTATCAAGTTCTCATCGACTCAGTCTGATTCACTCTCATCTATTGTCTTCTGAAGCTATAGAATATAGCATGAAAGTTGCATGGACTACTTTTGGAACATTTTAAACATTTTATAGTGATTTGTATCTTTTTTGAAGCTTGAAAACACCAATCCCAAATTATTGTAATTTAATGGAAAAGACCATTGAGTGCATTATTAAAGGGGTCATATGATGTTGCTAAAAAGAACATTATTTATTGTATTTGGTGTAATGAAATGTGTTTATGTGATTTAAGGTTAAAAAAACATTTAGAGTGAGCGTCGAAGGAGCGTCCGGCGGGCTTGCCACGGTGAAAGCCGATCCGGCGATCCACAGCACTAAGTTGATGTATTTCCTCAGCGACCAGCACGGATCAGCTCCAGGCATGACGAAGCGGATATTGTCCTCTTTTGGAAGGCCAAACAAAGTAGTTTCGCTTTCACAACGAAACACACAGCGTCTTCACGACATGGCGGCCGTGGCAACAACAATACTACAGCGAGAATAAAAGTTACGCCTTCTTTCTTTTTGGGCAACGTTATGCAACATTTGGGTGGCGTTATGCAAATCTTCCCACATCGTGACGTAGGCATGTGGGGGCGTGTTAGAACGAGCCGTTTTAGGTAGGCGTGGTTGACTCTTAACTTTTATAAAGAATATCTCTTTGGATTTGAGACTTTAGTCTTTGCAACTTTACAGATCTTCTTTATGCACCAAGAGCTTGTAACACTCCAAAGAGAAAGGAAAAATTAAAATCGCATCATATGACCCCTTTAAGATGTCTCCTTTTGTATTCCATGGAGGAGAGAAAATAATGTAGGTTTGGAACAACATGAGGTTGAGTAAAAAGTTTTAATTGTCACTCTTCCTTTAAAGACGAAGTCTGCTTGTATACAACAGGGAATTAAATATATGAAGAAACTGAACAGTTCTATTGTTAGGATTACATTCATCTGTTGTCACATATCAGACCTACCTTATATGTAACAAAAAAAGAGAAGAGAGGAAATGAAGTGTGACTCAAAGAGACAGCTATGGGTTGTCTGATTACATTTACCTCTGAGCTACATGTTCTTTTCCATATGAACACCCGCACAACAGCACAGTACTGCGGGTACACATACGAAAGTAAAATTACTCCCTCCATCCTGCGAACACATTCCAACACATACAGTACAACTAAACAATATAAGCTCAGAATTGTTTGAGACTGTCTGCACAACAATGTCACCTTCGCCTCATATACACTTATTCAACATCTCACATCGAACTATTTAAAGTGTTAAATGCTCTGAGTGCTTATGCTCAAGAGAGCCTCCCCATCTGAGAATGTGTATACAAGGCACTGAAGGAGCTCAGGTTGCAGTTCTGTTGTTCTCATTCGCATTTTTTTTCTTCTAAATATATTTAAACAAGTACTTCTATTTTCCAAAACACATACTGACAATGTCAGGCCTAAAAAAAAAGGTGTTTCTTGTTAAGCGTCACAAGATGCTTGTTGTTGTTATGCTTATCAAAATACTGCTCTGTAGTTTAACACCTCTATGTCTTAAAACACTACAGACTGCAACCTCTGCACTTTGTGTTGCAGAATAAACTAGGAAGCCTCAAGGGAGGGAAAGAGATTTTGGGAAGAAAACAAAGTTTGATTATGGTGGGAAATTATGTTGTTGTCAACACCTCGTGTCTCATCACAAACTTTATAAGATGCGCACAATGAGTAATATTTATGGAGCTAGTATCATTCTGGTGACATGTCACAGCACAGGTGCTTACAAAACAAAAAAACACATTTTGCCGAAATATATTAATAACTGCAGATGTCATCTTATGTGCCTTTTAAGGGGTGGTGACCATCTGACTGCTGTGTTGTCACTGTGTTATGCGATTTCTGAGAATATGAATATAATGAATTATTACAAGTAGGCTACTTGTGAGTTCACATGTCATCAGATGTGGCTTTCACTTTCATGTCATTCCAAGTTACACAAAAAAAGTTAAAACCATATCCATTAACCATATTTATCATAATGAAACACATTACAGTTATTTATCAGAATGTTAATTTCCATACAAGAGTAGAGAGTTGCCAGCGACTTTTTAAGCTTCAAAAAGGACAAAAGGTCCATATGACTTATATATTCAATTTCATATGTAATATATCCATATGTTCGCTATAGTGTTGTCAAAAGACCCGGTATTTCGGTACCAAGTCGGTACTAAAAAAATGAGAACGTTACGGTACCAGGTTTTCTTAAGTACCGGTGACTGAAATTTTGGTACCGTGACAACACTAGTTCGCTATATTCCAAGGCTTCTAAACTGGCACAGTAGTTTTGTGTGAGGAAAAGCAGAAATATTTCATTTTATTCACTGAAAACCTTTGTTCCAACTCAATATCTTTATGATACACATTAGAACTTTTTTGTGACCGCTGGAAGCGAAACAAACTTGACAGCATAAATTCATCATGTTTGACCAATAATTTAGAACTATAGGGGAGAAGAAAAGTAAAAGAGTGTTGCTAAAGAACCATTTTTTTTTATCTGGATTTAGATAAATATGAGGGCAGGGCTACATTTTTTACTTCATTTACTCTAAGCGCACCAATTCAGATTGCTTCAGTAGATCACAAGATAATGCCAACATAATAGAAAATTATATATAAAAAAATTAAGAACACACAAAATGTTAACAAATATTAAGAACATGCAACTTCAAATATTCTTGTCTTACAATATAAATATTTTAAACAAATATGTAATTTTTTATTTCTAAGGATATATTCTAAAATCTCTGAATGTTTTAATCTGTTTCTTAATTTAATGCCATTGTCACTTCTTATAGTGTCCTTTTGCCAAAGCAGTATTAGTCATGGGAAGAAGAAGACAAACAAAATAAATAAACATGGTAAAACTCCATAGCAACAATGCAGGTATTACATTTTTTTGTTTAGTAATTTCTATCCATTTAATCTGATTATTTAACAGTTCTCACTTTGTTCTTGAAAATGCAGTTTAAATATGAAGTTCAAGGCCACATTATACAACTGTTTTATCAGGTGAGCCAAAATAATTCTTGCCTTGATGTTCACTCAGTGCAACATAAACTTGTACAGGATATCCCAAACAAAGCATAAAACCCCTGGACACAATCCACTGAATAGTTTAGAAAGAATACAATTCAGTAGGAGAGACAGGCCTGCAGTACTCTGATGCTGTGTGTTAGTACAAGCCCTTCACTGGTTCAATAAGTGCCCAACGTCACCATGTCGTCATCGCAGACAATGGAAAATACAATGCAGAACACTTGATGATGCTACACATCCAGTGTGTTTCTGTTGCTTCAGTTCATGGAGTAAACTCACAGTATGACAAGAATTCATTTTAAACGCCATTTTCTGTCATTTTCTTTTATCTTTTGAAAGTTTAAAGCTCATTTGTAAGCCTGTATGTTCTGCTTAACAGACTCCTAAATAAATAAATTCACGGACAAAATCCATTAGGCGGATATTTGAACAGGCTACCATAAACAGATGCTGCCTTAAAACACAGAGCCAATATAAATAAAGCTTTCAAGTTCGTGGTAACTCAAAATTCTGTGAGTTTGGAAAGAAAATAAGCACCAAATTTGTCTAACAGTCTAAGAAGTTAAAAGTTAATTCCAAACTCCGGACTGTTCACTTCTTTCATTATTTAGGATGATTAGGCTACATCTATGGTAATTTTACTTGAACAGCAATGAATGAAACATGAGGAATATGGAAAGTGCTACCTTCTGGTCCACGATGGAGCATGCCATCTCTCGGACCTGCGCCAGGCTGAACTCGCCGGAGTCCAGCAGGACGGGTTCCCGGCTCAACCCGATCTGGATTTGGAAGGAAATGCCTTGCGACCCCGGGAGGGGGCTCGGCGGTCGGATCACCGGAAGCACGCTCATATGAATCCCCTGGTGTCAACAAACAATCACGTCTGGACAGCGATCAGATCGGGCTGTTTGATCGAGTGAGTTCACACACCGGTTGCGCAAACTGAGGCAAACTTCAGATCCCTAAAGACGTTCAGAGGGTAAACAGACGAAAAACGCGAATTTCAAGCAAAAAACGCTAGTACGGAAATGCAAAGAGTTATTTGGACATTGAGAGGCGATGATGATGATGATGATGATGATGGAGATATAGACGTCAGATATGTTTAATGTTGAGCTCTGATCAGACACCGCCTCCTGGCTGGTTCCTTCATCACGGAGGCTCAGACGCTGCTGCAGTGGCGAACGGGGATGTGAATATTAAAGTTTCTGTGCTATGGATTAATTCTTGACAATCATTTTTCGTTTACAGGTCATCTGGAATAGAGTCGGCACCCTGACAGAAAATTGCCATGGTAACCATAGTTTCCGCCAAAATACTTCCGCAAAACCATATGGGGCATCCTTCAAACAGTGTAAGAAGCTTTCAGAATATTTATTTTCTGTTTTACATAATAGTTGTGGTTAATGCCACATTATTACCAATTGAGAGCAAAACATAAAACACTGGTGGGTGGGCTTTTTTTCATTATGCAAAACAACCAACCAAAACACATCAGCAACAACATAGCAACATAAAATAATTAAAATAGATGAATCTATGATCCTTTTTTTGAACTGTAATACTGGATCAGATGTAGTTGATAACACTTTAAAGGTGATAATTCTTCTTGGGAAGTTCCACGTACATAAAGCAAAAATAATGTCTATTACTCCCTCTTTTAAGTTGTTCTGTAAAGAACTTAAAATATTTTATGACTCATTAATTTCAATCACTAGGAACAAGAAATGTATAAAAAACGTCTCTCATATTAAAAAATGTTATTTGTAAAATTTTATGTTTTAACCTCCATGATGTATATTTGTTATATGTATCCCCCATTTTTATTTGTGTTCTGTTTGATGTTAAGTATCTCTGTATGTTTGTTTTTGAAAGAGAAAAAAAAAAGAAAACATTTAATAAAAAAAACAACAACAACATAGCAACATGCTAAACTGCTCAGAACACCTTAGCAACACCATAGCAACCACAAATAGAATTATATTTACATGTACAGTACTTGTCAAAAGTTTGGAAACATTTTGAAATACAGTAAAAACAGTAATATTGTGAAATATATTTTAATATCAACATACTTAATGTATTTTATATAATGTATATATGAAATATATTTTAAAATGTCATTTGTTCCTGTGATGCAAAACTGAATTTCAGCATCATGTCTTCTGTATCACTCTAATATGCTGATTTGCTGCTCAGTTATTATTGGCGCTCAGTTATTGATAATTGTTCTTCTTATTATCAATGTCTAAAACAGTTTCTGTGGAGCGTTTGTTTGAAATATAATTTTCTGTAACATTATAAATGTTTTTACTAGGGCTGTGCGATATCGAAGAAAAATGCGATATGCGATAACTCACTAAATAATGCGATATGCGATATGCCATACGATAATGCTTAAAGTGCCACATGCTCAGATGAAACCATTTTACTCAGCTGTTGCTGAGTCAGTTCTGTGAACTTCTATAACTATCTTAATTATAGTAATTCAACTCAAATTGTGAAACTCGTGTATTAAATAAATTCAATGCACACAGACTGAAGTAGTTTAAGTCTTTGGTTCTTTTAATTGTGATGATTTTGGCTCACATTTAACAAAAACCCACCAATTCACTATCTCAACAAATTAGAATACTTCATAAGACCAATAAAAAAAACATTTTTAGTGAATTGTTGGCCTTCTGGAAAGTATGTTCATTTACTGTACATGTACTCAATACTTGGTAGGGGCTCCTTTTGCTTTAATTACTGCTACTGCCTCAATTCGGCGGATATATACATTTGCGATATTTCGATAATTTCGATATATTACACAGCCCTAGTTTTTACTGTCATTATTGACCAACTTAATGCATATTACTGAATAAAAAGCATTAGTTTCTGTTAAAACACTCACACAAACATGCCCCAAACATTTGAATGGTATCATGGTTTCTGCAAAAATATTAAATAGCACAACTTTTTTCAAAGTTGATAGCAATGAGAAATGTTTCTTGAGCACCAAATCAGCATATTAGAATGATTTCTTAAGGATCATGTGACACTGAAGACTGGAGTAATGGCTGCTAAAAAATTCAGCTTTGCCATCACAGGAATAAATTACATTTTGAAATATATCACAATTGAAAACAGTTATTTTAAATCGTACAATATTATTGTTTCTGTTTTTGAGCACATAAATGCAGCCTCTGTGAGCATAAGAGACTTCAATAAAAACATACAAATAATATTGTCCTATCAGGTGACAGTGCAGGTAGAGCATGTAATCTCTGCTAAACTGATTAGAGCGGAGTTAGTGTTTGCCCAGTGCAGCCCAGTGTTAACATTGACAAGGGCACACCAGGTATAGCATTTTCCCAGACAGAGTTGAGTGGCTAACTAAATGCCTTTTATTTAGATTGAAACTTACACATTAGGATACAGATAATTCTGACCAGGCTTGAGTGGGCCAACTGTGTTCACGCACCTCCGTGTGTGCCGGCATTTTGTAAACAGAAGGGCTCAAGGACTTGTAGTTGCTAGGAGAGAGGCCAGCTGATGCTCGCCTCCCACGCATAGAGCAACTGTGTGTTCATCACTGCTGTAGTACCATACAGAAGGCCACCAATATCACTCGATTCAATTAGAGAGATCACTAATAGGACTGCTTGTTTTAGGTCAAATTAGACCCACACAGGCTTACCGCTTTGTCAGAGAGCAGACAAATTTCCCCAAACAAATGATGTGTTGATTGTGGCAACATTTGTTACAGTTAGTTTCTTTCACAACAGGAAGTGTTATTTGTAGTATATTGTTGGCTGGCTGTAAAAAAATTGGGGTTTTTTTCAGATAAAATGAATGACTACAAAAGTCAGCATTTTTTTTTTGTCTTAAGATATAATGTTTTGAATGGGTAATACAGTACATGGTGAACATATTTCTCAAGTCAGCTGTACTGTCTCACAGGCTGACGGATTTATCACGATCCATTTGCGATAATTAATCCATGTCCTTTTTAAAATAACTAGCTGCCTGAACACTAACCTTTAGAGATGGTTTATTATATGTAATTAAAGGGATAGTTGAACCAAAATAGAAAATTCTGTCATCATTTACACACCTTTGTGTCATTCCAAACCAAAAGACTCTGTTTTGTCCATATAGTGAAAGTCAGTTAGGTCCAAAACAACACTGAACCCCATTAACTTTCATATGGATAAAAAACACAGGGACATTTTCAAATGATCTCCTTTTGTGTTCCAGAGAACAAAGAAAGTCATAGAGGTTTGGAATGATATGAGGGTAAATGATGACAGAATGTAATTTTTTTTTTAGTGTAAATCAGTTTGCAATAAGTCATTACCACGTTTTTCTTTCACTTTGCACGTTTCTTGGCAAATTTTTGGTTGATTCTGTGAAATGCAAGGATTGACCACAGCAAAGCATTTTGTTAAAGTGATGCAAACATCTCGCATGCTGCTTCTGTTCCAGGTGGCTAACCTTTCCATGCGCATCGATTCTTGTTTGACTCGGTAAACTCTTCATGACACACAATTTCTCATTTGACAAAAATAACTAAAATTATTCCACTCATAAGCCTGTAAAATAATCTTCCTTAAATAAGTCTAAATTACAGAAGACAGGAAGTCAAAAGATTATCGGAGCATGTCACACAGAAAGAGCGAGAAAACGCTGGCATATGCCAAAGCACCTCTTGACAGATAATAAGGTTTCTCTGTGTTAGGAGCCATTACAGGTCAGGACCCCCAGCAGCATGTCATGATGACTTCTAATTGCAATTTATGTAATAAGTAGGAAGGAGTTTTAGTAACATGGTCGAAAATGGAGAATAAATGATTAGGGGCTTGGCAGAAATGACAGTTTTCAGTTTCACCCCGCTCTCTCTCTCTCTCTCTCTCTCTCTCTCTCTCTCTCTCTAACTCAACGCCCATTACATCCTCAGTGCTGATCTGACTGACAGGGAAAATGTCTATATTTGTAATTAGGGAGAGTGGAGTGACTGCTCCATCAAGCCTTTTTGTGACACGGAGGTTTTGACTGATACGGTCGGTGTCAGGTGTGGCATCTTGGGGCAGTGGAGGTTGTTCTTTGGTTTGGTTAAAGATGCATTTCAAGCAATCTAATTCTAAATAAGAGTTCATTTATAGTGAATATATTTTCCTTATAGAAAGAAAGAAGATATTATCAATTAGTGGCAAAGAGAAAATCAAAATTCCAGAGTACTACAATATTTTGATATCAATATTTTTAGTTATTTTACATGAATATCGGAGAAATGGAAATGTACCAGTATTCAGAGCAGTTTGTGTGAATGTGATATATACTGAACAGTGTTAATATATTAAAGCTGAAATAAAAATAAACACAATGCATAGCCTCAAATCAACTTTACAGAAAATGCATGTTTCTACGATAAAATTAAAAGAAAGCTTAGATATAAAAATATAAAAAACCTAATAAAAATGATAAAAGCACATAACAAAATTACTAAAAATTTAACTAAAATTAAAAAAAAATAAAATAAAAGATCATTCCAAACATTTATAAAAACTATATAGTATAGAAATAATTCTAAAATATGCTGTAGCATAACTGTGCATTAACACACTCAGTTACTTCTATTCAACCAAAATCTGACCTTAGACTGAGCCAAGAATTGCGCAACACACCAAAGTTCAAGGACCAAGTGAGAAAAAGATCCTAATATATTCTGAGTAATTATACACTAAATGTAGAACCATATTCATAGAAGCTCCAAAGAATTGCAGATATTAATAATAATAATTTTTATTGATGTAACACCTTTCAAGGATATTATCATATTGTGATCCAAATATCGCTATAAAATTATCATCTGGTTATATGCATTTATCATTTGAAAATTTTCAGGTCATGTCAGGCCATGCATGAACATAAGCATCTGATTAATTTCAAAAACAGCTTTTTTCCTTTATTCGAAACTCAGAATTAAATGTTTATCTCCATAACATACAATGTAAAATCACCACTCGTCAAATATAGGGTGCACACAGATCTGAAATAAACTTATGGCAATCAAAGGGTTAAAGTGGATGCATGAAAGGAAAATGAGCATGTCTGATGTGAAACCATTGTTTGAC